TTTTATTAAAACGGTTGATAAACGAAAATACAGATGAAGAAAGCTGGAAATGTCATTTTCGAATTGTTGCCTACAAAGACAATATACTAAAAACTACTTTTACTCAAGCCGATAATATATTATCTAAAAAAAATTATTTCCAATTAATATTATTATTATAATTTTCAGTAAAAATGCAAAAAAAAACTGCCTCATGCTGGAATCGAACCAGCGACCTTCTGTTTACTAGACAGACGCTCTGCCCCTGAGCCAATGAGGCTACGCTTTGAGGAGAATTAAAAAATGGATTTGAAGGAGTATAGGGCTTCAAACGAAACAAACAAAAGTTTAATCTACTGTATACACAACGTTTCAAAAACCACTAACTATAAACAAAAACCATATATAACAAGTTTGTATAAACATACCTATCTTTACAGTCACAATAGGACATATTAATGACTACTGTAATATAAAGACAATGATAACTTACTGTAATAAACATTTGTAAAAAAGTCGAGTTAGACCTAGGTCAGACTAAGTAAGCCCTTTCTCAAATATACTGTAATAAAAAATGCTTGAATTTAAAAAAATGGTCAAAAAGTACATAGAATTTAATAATTTAGTCAAATTGTTTCATATTTCTATCTTATTCTTATATTTTTGACCAAAAACTAAAGAAAAATCTACAGTAATACCGTTAATAACAACTTTACTGCATATTATAAACCATCATTCCGCGAGAAGTTGGAATGTCATTTAGCAGTAACATTTCACGTGTCATGCCAACGTGATTCAAATGTGCTGATCAGTCAGATGTTTTTTCGATTATTTATGGAAAAACAAACAATACAGGAGCAGAGTACATGTTTGTAAGGGTAAAATAATAAAGAAAAAAGACAGAGTGAAATAAAAAAATTAGAAACAAGAGCTATATTAAGACCGGGTGTAGCAGTGTAGATAGTTTATAAGACAATAAGCGGTAGCTAGAATCTCTGGGTAGGGTAGGGTAAGGTAGGGTAGGGTATAGTAGGGTAGGGTAGGGTAGGGAAGGGTAGGGTAAGGTAGGGTAGGGTAGGGTAGGGTAGGGTAGGGTAAGGTAAGGTAGGGTAGGGTAGGGTAGGGTAGGGTAAGGTAGGGTAGGGTAGGGTAGGGTAGGGTAGGGTAGGGTAGGGTAGGGCTGTGAAATTTTAAAAACTAAAATTTTTGTGTATTTCCCAGCCCTTTAAAAGCCAAAACCTTCAAACATAATAAAATATGTTAACCAAAGTTAAACGTGCAAACATTCAGCACCGTTCTAGTGGCGTTCTGTTACCTTTTTTTATGACTTTACAGCATTAGTTTGCCTTAAAATTTACGTTTGAAGCCGTTTTTCAATATTAAAAGCTATTCTAATCCGATTTTTTCTTTATTCTTTTATGTTATACCTATATCTAGTATAATGTCATAGTAAAATACTAACATTGAATTGATGAATACATTGCAAGACATCACTGCAAAATATCAAATATATACGTGCATTATGTCATGTGCTATAGCAAAACGGTTTGTATCAGTAATAATTTGAGAACCATTATTGTATACCTACTATAATATTTTTCAATTTTTTTAAATGTGATGGCATATAAGGTAACGCTGAAGAAGTAGAGAATACTCAGTAACTTTTACACTGCAAATAGACTCTTTTTTTTAATTTTGTATAATAAAAAAGTTAAACAATGCACCAGTACACTCCTGAGATTCCACCACGACACCTAACATCTTGGCATTCTGCGTCACGTATTTCTGCCAGCACGATAATAAGAGAGCAGTTAATCAGTTGAACAGAAAACGCAGTCAGCAGTTGGTCAGCGTGCTAGATAGACAGTTAAGACGTCCCAAGAACGTCACGCTGTAGACTGTCGAGATCTATTATAGTTTTATATCAATCAAGATCTACATCTTCATAGGTTTTATATATACAGTGGCGGCAAAAAAAATGGGACAGTCGGTTTTTCGTCAATTTTAAATTTTTTTCGTAAATTTGTACCTAGCTATTATGAAAATGTAGGGTAAGTTAAACATATTCAAGCAAAAAAAATTTTTAAATTCGAGTCTTAAATATTTTTAAAAATTTTTCAAAAAATTTTGCTTGGCAAAAAAAAGTGGGACACTTGTGACGGAAGCTGTTAATATGCAAAGTAAGTTTTAATTTGTACTAGTTTTTGTGCTGTTTTTGTGTCCGAATATATTTTAAGTTACAGTATGCCAAAACAAGCAGGTGAAGAGGTTTGTTTTTTAATTGTGCGTCTTGGCAAAGAGAAGATACCAATTCGAGCAATAGATGTCATGGTTAACATGCCAAAATTAACTGTTGGAAAAATAATTCCGTGATACAATGGTTGTGGCCAGAGTTCCCACGGGCTCCGGAGCCGGCTCCGGGGCAGCTCCGGCTCCGGAGCTGGAGCCGGACCCGGAGCTCATTTGTGAAAATGGTCGGAGCCGGAGCTGGAGCCGGAGCCGAGTTTTTCTAGGATAGCTCCACATTTTAATTTTTATTATTCGAGCAGTGTAAAAAGGTCTCGAAAAGAAAACTATCCATGACCAATTCAAAAGGTTGGCATTGCGATAAAATAGTTTTTTGGACAAATATTTGTGTTATTTTCAAATGGAAGCAAAAAAACGCCGGAAGTTAGATTTTTCAAAATCGTTTGACAAAAGCGATGTGCAAGCAAATGTAATTGATGGTAAATGAAAATACTTTAGCAGCATTAACAGTACCCGCGGCTTCGGCAAATGTAGAGCAATTCTTTAGCCGCCTTCAAACTGTAACCGCCTCAAAGCTCTGCAACTCTCAGCATGCTTTAATCAGACAAAAAATGTTAATGTCTTTTAATTCCTCATACTCTGAATAAGTTATATGTACTTTTTTATTGTTTTAGTTAAAAATTGTTGTTTTATTAAATTTAGAAAAGATAAAGCTTATTTTTGGTTGTTTTTGCGTTTTTTTATATAGAAATACGATTTTTATTGATTTTGTGCCCTCGGAGCCGGAGCCGGAGCTTGCGAAAATGTCGGCTCCGGAGCCCGGAGCCGGAGCTAAAATTTGAAAATGGTCGGAGCCGGAGCTAGGATTTTTAAATTTGGGAACTCTGGTTGTGGCTCTACAAAACGCAAAAAAGGAAGTGGAAGACCTAGATTTACTACAAAAAAAAAGAGGATACATTGATTAATCGCAAGTCTCAAGTTGATCTTTTCAAACGTGCAAATGAGATTAGAACGGACATGAAGGAAGAACATGGTGTAGACGTTTCATGAAGGGCAGTATGCAATCGGCTTTTAGACGTTAGAATTCGTGGCTGTATTTCCAAGAAGAAACCTTTGATTCGGATCAAAAATAGCAAACTCCGGCTTGAATTTGCAAAGGTACACGAACATTGGACAAGTGATGATTTGAGAAAGGTCATTTTCAGTGACGAATCAAAATTGGATACTAAGGAATCAGATGGTAAACGATAGATAAGAAGGCCAACTAACTCTGAAAATCAATTGCGGTATCTACGGCCAACAGTTAAGCATGCCAGAAGCATAATGGTTTGGTCGTGTTTTGCCTACAACAACATCGAACTTCTGATCGTATAGAAAAGATTATGGATAAGACGGTTTCCTTAGAAATTTTATCCAAAATTGTCATACCTTATTGTCGTTCTTTAAAAATAAAAGTATCCTTATTTTAAAGTGACAACGACCCGGAACACAGGGCTAAAGTTGTTCAACAATATATGAAGAAGGAGAAGATCCGCAAACTCGACTGGCCTAGTTAGTCTCCTGACCTTCATCCTATTGAACATTTATGGGAATTAGTTGCAAGAAACGTAGAAAAGACATGCTCTACGACAGAAGCTCAATTGGAATCAGTTTTGGAAGAGGGATGGAGAAATCTTGACATTAAAGTAGTGGACGATTACATCATGTATATGCCTCGTCGAATGGCCGCTGTTATTGCTGCAAATGGTGGTCCAACAAAGTACTCGTTATTGTTTGTTAGTTAAACGTATTTTTAGTTGTTTTAGTTAGGTTGTTTAATAAAAATGTTTTTGATATTGAAGTGTCCCACTTTTTTTGCCAAGCAAAATTTTTCGAAAAATTTTTAAAAATATTTAAAACTCAAATTTTAAAATTTTTTTTGCTTGAATATGTTAAATTTACCCTACATTTTCGTAATAGCTAGGTACAAATTTATGTTCTAAAAAAATTTAAAATTGACGAAAAACCGGCTGTCCCATTTTTTTTGCCGCCACTGTATCTTATTGTACATTTTTTGTTAAAAACCTTATCAGTTTATAAGACGCAAACTCAAATAATTATAGTGATTTAGAGAGTTTCCAATTTTAAAATTTTCTACACCGGTTTCAGCTTAAACGTCAGTTTTTTTTTAAATTATAGTTTTGGTACCGTCTTGGAGTCTCAGTCGTGTTGCGGGGTTTTAGTACTGAAATTTAACATTTTCTGGTTCTGCTTCTGCTTTTTATAAATTTCAACGTTGGCTCTAGCTCCGTAGTTGCTTAGGAGCCACCTCCGGAGACATTGTAAAAACTGGTGATGAACATATACACATTGATTTACGTTTATGTGTTTTTAGGTAGAATGTATACGATGGTAATCTATGGGTTGGAAGTAGGCTTAGAAGTAACTTAAGAAATTATTTTATAATATAATTTTTATAGGCCAGATTATAGCGTCAAAACTTTGCAGTATCTTTGTAAAAGCTAAATGATCTGCCAAGTTCGCCTTGCCCAATGCTTTGTGTTTTAAAAAGTAACTTTAATAAAAGTTGAAATTTTTTGTAATAATTGCTTGTAATTTACAACATTTCAAAATGTTTAGAAAAACCCTTGTATAACAAACTTTACCACACCGCAACTTCTCTGTAAACAACAAATTTTAAATCCCCGCGCAATTCTTTAAAGGAGTTCCACTCTATTTAACATATCCCAAAACCCTATAGTTAAACCTTTATTTTATAAATAATCCATAAATAACTATACAGCATTGATTTGGCATATTTGTTCGTCTTGGTCCATATTCAAAGGTGCTGAGGCTGTTGTCAGTTTCCTCAACAATAAGCTGAAGCTTCGTTCTCGTTGGACTCGTTTCTTTGTGTCGACACCACCACTTGGCTTCAGCACGACTACGCTATTACATGTGGAGGTTTCGGATTGAGTAATAGAAGGGAGGGAAGAATAATATCCTTCCTCGGCTTGAATCTCGTAGATTCGTTTGGGGTAGAGCACGTGACGGGGGCTGTCAATGGCTGAAAATAGAAAATTTAGTTGAAGTGTAGGTGTATATAGGTTGACATAAAGCTTTATATAAGTTAATATAAACTTCTTTTTATAAGTCAGTATACAGTTACACATAAGATATCATATGGTTATATTCTATTGTAATATACTTGCTAATTGTTTCAATCCTGTAATATACTTGTTAATACTATAAACACTGTTTTTTACTGTAAAACACCCCTTAATTACATTGAATTCCCGGTAAAAGCTCAAAAGATGTCATAATAGGTACTACAACTCTAATCTACAGTTAATACGACGGAAGTCCAATAAAGTTATGAATCATTTCCCGTAGCGACAGACAATCTAATCCTAACAAAAGTCAATGGAATGACAAAGAGATGAGTTTAAATTGGACCTGAAAGGAAGCCACTAGGCCCGTTCCGTCTTTAACTAGCCATTGAATTAACGCAAATTTGGAAACTTGCCCGGTCTGGCCCATGTAAGCCCGCAAGTAGTGACTTAGACCGAGGCCTCAAGTTGCCAGCTTGGTCCCGCAACGAAAGATTTGTTTGAAGTTTTTAAAAAAAAAGCTTAATTTTTTACCCACTCCCCCTCTTAGACCACAAATACCCCGCCCGCCTCAGTCAGTACCTTTATTTTGCAAGACAAGAACCACAAAGTATATAGTACCTTTGATGTCACAGTCATAGTACTTATCATATCCATTTCAATCTTTAAACCTTAAGAAGCCAAATCCTTGCAAAAATTACATCTCTTTAATTGCTACTTTACATATTAACAATAATATTCCAAAATTAAGATGTGTGTCGCCAAAGTCTTAAAATGCCATACTAAAAATTTTAGTAAATCTCCTATGTCTTTCAAGGTTTAAAAAATGTAGATTCGTTATAAAGAGTCTGTAAAAAATATATTATAGAAAGCATAGTAGACCAAACCAGATGACTTTGAAATTGATACTTTTTGGGCATTAATACTCTGGTATAATAAGGATAAAAGACAGCACAGAGATCCCTCTTGCAAGCAATAGTTTTATTTTATTCTCTGACATACATTACCTATAAATATAATAGCTTAGGGCAAGGTACGGTGAATAGGATAGGGCAGAGTAGGGTAAGGTAGGGTAATGTAGGGTAAGGTAGAATAGAGTAAAGTATTTCCGATTTTAATTATAAGAAAGTTTTTTATACAAGAGTTCCGTCATATTTCAGTTTATGAATATATCCATGTAAAAACACTAGCTATGTTCTTTGCAAACTTTTACTGGTTAATCCTCAGAATTGGTCAAAATGACGCAAGGATTTACATTTACTTTTAACAAATCCCCCTTGTTTAAAATGGCAAATAGACTGAGCTACAACAATATCAATAGGGATCGACCGTTCTACAATTAAATAAATTTATATCTAAGTCAATGAGCTACCACCTTAACAAATAAAGCTTATGGCGGGGTCACACTTGCGGACAAACCTTTGCGGACAGACAGTTGCGGACAATATTTCAGTGTCCGCAAAAGTTTGAAAAAATGACAGATGCGGACACACAATGTCCGCATCTGTCCTTCACGGTCGCATTTGCGGACAGACATTTGCGGACACTATTCCTCTGTCCGCAAAAAACATAAAGAATGACACTTGCGGACACTGCACTGCATATACTACCCTACCCTATCCAGCACTACCCTATCCTACTGTACCGTTCCGTTCCGTACCCTAGCCTTCCTACCCTACCCTACCCCACCCTACCTTTCCTACCCTACCGTACCGTACCCTACCGTACGTACCCTACCCTACCCTTCCTACTGTACTGTGCCGTACCCTACCCTACCCTACCTTACCCTACCCTGCCCTACCCTACTCTACTCTACCCCACCCTACCGTACCCTAGCCCTACCTATCCAGCCCTCCCCGCCGTACCTTACCCTCCCTACCCTACCTTTCCTACCCTGCTCTACCCTACCCTACACCACCCTACCCTACCGTATCGTACCCTACCGTACCGTATCGTACTCTACTCTACCTTTCCTACTGTACCGTGCCGTACCCTACCCTTTCTACCCTACCGTACCCTAGCCCTATCTATCCAGTCCTACCGTACCCTATCCTACTGTACCGTACCTTACCTTTACTACCCTACCGTACCCTCCCTTTCCTACCCTACCCTACCCGAGTGATTTACACTTCGTGGGAACGGGTAGGGCAGGGCAGAGCAGGGCAGGGCAGGGTAGGGTAGGGTAGGGTAGGGTAGGGTACGGTAGGGTGGTGTAGGGTAGGGTAGGGCAGGGCAGAGCAGGGCAGGGCAGGGCAGGGCAGGGTAGGGTAGGGGTAGGGTACGGTAGGGTGGGGGTAGGGTAGGGTAGGGTAGGGTAGGGTAGGGTAGGGTACGGCACAGTACAGTAGGAAGGGTAGGGTAGGGTACGTACGGTAGGGTACGGTACGGTACGGTAGGAAAGGTAGGGTAGGGTAGGGAGGGTGCGGTAGGGTACGATACGGTAGGGTAGGGTAGGGTGGGGTAGGGTGGTGTAGGGTAGGGTAGAAAGGCTAAGGTACGGAACGGTACGGTACAGTAGGATAGGGTAGTGCTGGATAGGGTAGGGTAGTATATGCAGTGCAGTGTCCGCAAATGTCTGTATCTCCGACACTTGCGGACAGCGACAAGACTTCTGGTGTCCGCAAGTGTCATTCTTTATGTTTTTTGCGGACAGAGGAATAGTGTCCGCAAGTGTCTGTCCGCAAATGCGACCGTGAAGGACAGATGCGGACATTGTGTGTCCGCATCTGTCATTTTTTCAGACTTTTGCGGACACTGAAATATTGTCCGCAACTGTCTGTCCGCAAAGGTTTGTCCGCAAAAGTCGCACCGCCAAAGCTTATGCCATATGTAACTTCTACAGCTAATAAAATCGTTTAAAGGTGGGGGGAGAAAAAATAACAAAAAAAAATTTTTTAATTTTTAAAATTATAGCTACCGTAGTAATATCGAATTACATTTTTGCAAAAAAAATCTATTTTTAAAACTCCGAAAGGCCAATTTAAACGTTTTTAGATTAAAATTCAAAGCAGGGTGGCCAAAAACGTGGTTAATCTCTGTGCAGGTAATATGCGCTGGGTTTAGTATCATAGAGTAAATTATATTATAGTAGAAATTTGAACCCAGAAAAAGATTAATTCATTAAAATATTATACTTTAGTAGCAGAACAAAGGTCTTTCTTTTAACCGTTTTGCAATATTAATATTATACTTTTAAAATAAAAATCCCCGTCAGCAAAAGTTGTGTCGTTTTTAAGCCTTGAAAATAGTGTAAATAAAACTTTTTCACTGGTTACAAATGAAGAAACCCGTATTTTAACTATGATAAAAATGCAAAATAAGTATTTCAAACTTTTGAAATCATTAAAATAACGAAAACTTACTGCTTTTCTTGCCAAAAGTTTGTTTCGAATCATTCCGACTCGACTCCACATCCTTTATGTCATCGTCAGCCTTAGGTGAACATATTCTTGATAAAAAGTAAAACAATAAGAATATTAGAATGATCCCACTTAGTGCAAATGCAAATACGATCACTGATGCACTCGAAGCTTTTGGCGGATTCAGACGGGCTTCACTCGCATATCGTGCTGAAGTTTCCAGAGAGCGGGGCAATGAAGGCTGATTGGGTTGGGCTGGAACTGAGCAATTTTTTTTATTATTTGAAGTTTTGTATAATAGTATTTTTTAAATATTTTGTTTTTAAAAATATTTTTTAAGAAATTTTTGTAGTTAAGGCATTTTTTTGAAATTTCAAAATTAAAAAAAATTTTTAAAAATTTTAAAATTGTTGTGAAAAAGCGAGGTAGGGTAGAGTAAGATAAGAAAGGGAAAAGAAGGGCAGGGTAAAGCATCAAAATAGCTGAAAATCAGCCTTTAATGCACCCTAATGCCAAAAATTACCCTCAAATTGACCCGCAGCATACTAATACTTTAATATTTACCCCATGCCAAGAAAATCAACGATAGATCTACCCCAACTGTGATTATGCCAAAAAGTTACTACAATATCATGCTTGTGCCTGAATGTTTTACATGTGCAATATGCACTAATATAAACCTTAAAACTACCATTAAGCAAAAAGTAAGCATAATTTTACCCTTGCCAAAATACGACTGCAAGCCTCTTTTTAATATTGTTACCCTTGCCATTTAGACGCTACCATTACCACTACTTAACCTTGCACCCCAATTTTACAATGCCACCTTTGCCAAAAGATAATCTCAAACCTCAGCTTTATAGTTTTACCCCTGCCATTTTAATTATTGCTCTTGCCATTTTAGTTTTTATCTTGACCACAATATAACCTCAAACCTCACCTTTATATATACTTACCCCTGACTTTTAATAAATACCTTTACTATTTCAATTGCCACCCCTACCACGATATAACCTCAAACCTCACCTTCCATGAACATGAAGCCCCGAGGCTGTCGTCGTCGAAAAAAAGGTTATTTCCGTACAAAGCTAAGTGGGATAAGCTGGGCCCAGCGAAATTTGTCCAAATGAGATTTAAATGTTTCGCCCAAATCTCTAACGGAAAAACTAATCTCAAGAAAAATTTTTAAAGTTTGCCCTCCGGCGACGACACAATAGGAGTCATAAGCGAAGGTAATTTGTTTACAGTTATAAACACAATTTCGTTCGTTTGTAACTTCAAGCATTGAGACTTGAGTTTAGGCTGGTTTAAAGGCTTTTTGAGAGAGTTAAGTTCAGTCGGGGCTTTGAAGTTTAAGTTTAGTGCTCGAAGGTTAATATAGTTTAGGTTCAGTACAGTAAAAGAGTAATAATGTTTGGGTTTGTTACTTTAAAGTGTCAAAATAGTTTAGGTTCAGTACTAATGATGCATTAATATTGTTTGGGTTTAGTACTACTATAGTACAATAGAAAACTTTTTGTTTTGGTTGTTGTACTGTTAGTTTGTAAAAGTGGCATTGCCAGTCTTTAGATAACAAAAAAACAAAAAAAAATTTTTTTGTTGTAATAGGTATTTAAGCAAAAAAAAACAAAAATTTTAAAAAATTTTTTATTTTTTATAATATAACGAACATGCCGCGCTTAACGTTAAAAAACCTTTTTTAAAAAGAGGAAAGAGCCAAAAAGCTATTCTTTCAAAAAATTTTTTTTTAATATTGCACATGGTACTCCCTGTAAAACTCAAAAAAAATTTATTTTATCTTGCAGGTAGAGATCACAATTTTTTTCATTCCCTAGATACAAAATATTGTACTCTTCCTGACTAAAGATGTTTTTAAATTAGGAAGGGGAATAGGAATGGGTTCACCTCCCTAATAGCCGCCCAAAAAAAAATTCCACAGGTATTCCACTAGAACCTGTACTTTGAAAAATGAGCGTACAGTTACTAGTAAACCAATTCTTTTTTGGTTTCCACCCTTCTAGAAAAAACTTGCAGCTATGTCCCCCTACTTTTAACATTATTTTCTATTGCAAATTGCTTTAGAACAATATCTGTTTGGCTATAAATTAATAGCCCTCTAGTTAAATTTTAAAATCATTTTAAAAACTTACAAGGCCGATTCGACTGCCGATGCTCAGGTTTTGGCGCTGAATATTTGGGTTGATAATAGCTTTGTGAGGTCGAAGCTTCGGAATTGTAATCCCGTGGTTGGAAATGCATGTATTTACGCATTTTTTATTCTAAAATGATAAGATTTTAGAATTTTGTATAATAATATTATATAAATTTACAATCATTTTATTTTTTCACAATAAAGTTACAGTTCTTATACGTATCACAGCACGTAGGTTTTTGGTAAATTTATTATAATAAGAGCACAAAGAAAACGTCTGGAGCGCCTAGCACTATTACTATAACCGTTAACATGATTTAAAGTTATATAACTTGCTTTGTACTACAATAACTCTATATATTATCTTACGAAAAGTGGTTAAAAAGTAAAAAAATTCGTAACATTTTAAAAAAATAATGTATAGATAAAGCTTTTCGTTGCTCTAGCCTTAATAAGAGGTGACTAATACACAGACAATTTCAATTAAAAACCTTACAAATTGAATAAAAATGCTATTTCAAAAACTTGAAAATGAAGCCATAAATGTCATTTCGAAAACACATCATTTTGAAATAGCCAAGCCAAGGTTTCGTACAGTTTTTGTACATTCAAAAAGGATTAGGCTAAACTTAAAAGATGGCATGTATTATTTATTAGTCCATCGTATGTTGCCATTTGATGATGCTTGATAACAAGTATGAAACAGTAAGCAAACATTAGGTTTATGATATGATACTGATGAGCATGGTAGCTGCATTCAAAAGACCCTACCCCACCTTACCCTACTTTACCCTACCCTACCCTACTTTACCCTACCCTACCCTACCCTACCCTACCCTACCCTACCCTACCCTACCCTACCCTACTCTACCCTACTCTACCCTACCCTACCCTATTCTAAAATACCCACTCCTTTATTATATTACCCTTCTTTCTTCACCACTACACTATCTTCTCCACAATTCAATAAAAATCCAATTCACCCCTCCCACCTCGCCAAAAAAACAACATTATCACAGTGTCCGAACATAGGTCGTATATCATGACCATAAATTTAAACTTCCAAAGTTGGCAATAACATGAGATTGGTAAGCCATATGAAAAGTGTAATCTCGAAGTCTTAGCAATGTTATTGTCGAAAACAAGCGTCATGTATTTATTCGAATACCAATTATTCGTCTCTAAGACTTCGTTTGAGACATTAACACTGTAATTTGGCCTTATATGTTAGAAATAATAAACTAAAAATTTTTTTAATTTAAATTTTATTTTATCTGATGATAGAGCTATAAAAACAAAGAAAAAATAATTTACAACCTCACTGATACAAAGGTTAATTTTTTCAGGCTAGTGCTACAACTCTGCGTTAGGGCTTTAGGATTCTATGCTAAGGCTCTGGGCTAGAGCTAGAGATGAAGCTAGGAATAGAGTTTGACATAAACCAGAACCAAGACCATGAATATGACCAAAACGAAGACTAAGACCATGACTAGTAAGACGAAATTCACAAAACCCACCTTTTTCTTCCCCTTATCAGCCTTATGTAACAACATCTGAACTTTTAGTTTGCTATACTTTTAAATCGATACACAAAAAAAGATTTCAGTCTAGACCGCAATATAAACAAACAATTTAATATTTTGGTTTTGTCTTTCCGTTATGGTGTTATTTTTAATAATACATTTGAATCATGGTAAAAAGATATGCCAAGTCTGTAAGATTATTACCTAAATTACTAAAACTCAGCTCAAATATTTGTAAAGGCCATTTCCAATCTAACTTCTTTTTACAAATGCAAGACATTCTGGACACTAATCTTAGATTTGAGCAAATTTAGCTTTAAAATCTTGTATTAAAGCTATATATGGGCGTATTTTACAAAAAATGTCATTTTAAATAATCTTGCTACAAAATTATGTCACAGATTTTAAAAATAGGTCATATGTGAAATGTCATAGTAGTAAGAAATAAAATGTGTCACAAATCTTTAAAAACCAAAAAAAAGTTTTGTCGTTTTTGACAGTGAAAACACATGTGAAATGTCGACAAGACTTTTTTTAACCGTTTAAAAGCTATGTATTTTGAAATAACAATTGTTAAAAGAAAAATAAAATACGTTAAAAAAATGAATTTCGCACCATATATAATCATATTATGACTTACAAATGTCATATTTTGACTTTAAATTTCAACTTTCCGGAAACTAAAGCCAAAATAAGAGATTATAGTAAGCTACCCCACTTTCATCAATGATCGTTTAATGTCAAAACATTATGACACACTACAGGAAAGATAAGCAGAATTGCAAGTGCGTCAACTCTTTTTTATGTTAGCTTTAAAAAAATCAAAAAGCGGTTTAAAGGTTTGGATTTGTAACCAGACTTCCTCATCTTACCCTACCCTGCGTTACTTTATCCTACTCTACTCTACGTTACTTTATCCTATCTTACTTTAACCTACTCTACGTTAACTTTATTAAAAATCATACCTTATCTATATCACTGTATGACAATGGTCTCTACTGCAAATTTACGACATAATAATGTAAAACAGTGGGTTGTTAAATGTAGTCCAGCTCGATGAAAATCATTTTTATCATCTACGTCTCAGAGTTATAAATAGAAGTACAAATGCAACAAATTTAGAAAGCTCGGTTAATCCAAAGTCCAAATTTTAGTTTTTTTTAAATCTAAATTGAACAGACTAGACCCACAAAATTATCTAACTATAGTAATATATTATAGTACAAGACTATTACAACAATATGGTTTAAAATATAATTGTTCTAGTGTTAGCCCTAAAACATCAGATCAATTTGAAGCTTAACATCAGACTTAGGCTTAGTTTAAGCTTCATGTCTTGTCTTTAGCTTTAAAACATGTAAACATTTTACAGTTTATAATACAAAATATACTATAATATCTAAAATGGTATAATAACTAAAAAATACAAAATCAAAAAAGATTGAGTGTAAGTTTGTTCAAGATATCCTACTTTAACTATCTGACCTACCCTACTCAGACTTACCCTACTTTACCCTACCCTAACCTGCACATCACCATAATTTCTTAAATTTTTAAAAATAACTCCAAAAGCAAGGGCGATGTCCCAATCCAGTAAGCACAGGATGATACATACTGCTCTAAGATGTAAAATATTTTAGCAAATAATAAATTTATATCATGAAGGAGTTAAAATATCCAAAAGGGATTAGCGGGCTATGCGGGTGTTCATCAGAAAGGATAAAATGTTTCCAAAGGCGGAGTCGTAGTCAATTTGTAGGCTAACGTCAGGAAGAAATAAAAAAAAGGTTTTTTGAGCCAAACGTTTGTAGAATGACATTTAATAGGACTAGGACTAAGAATAGAACAAAAACTACATATAACTAGAACAAGAGCTACGGTTAGAGCTAGAGCTAGAGTTAAAGCCAAAGCCAGAGCTAAAGTCAGAGCCAAAGACAAGGTTGCGACCAGAGCTACAGCTATAGATAGATCTAGAACTTGATCCCAGGCTAAAATTAAAGCAAAAGCGAGAGCTAGAACTGCGGCTGATCTAAAGCTAAGACAAAAAGCTAATAGGTTAGATGCTGAGGTTATGCCTGAGTATAGACCTGTAGCTAGGCATAAGACTAGGCTTTAAGCTAGACCTGAAGAGACCTTAAGTTAAGTTTTATAATAAAGTGAGAAGCATTAAAGATTACGCCGCAAGAAAAGTGACAAAATTGGCTTTGTCAGCACAAAACTTAAAAAAACACAAAAACCAGACATGACAACATGCATGACTCAAATGTAATTACATATTGTAAAAAAGTTAATATCCAATTCCAAAGGAAACCACACCTACAATTGTGAATACATAATACTTAGATTGACATTGTTAACATATTTGAGCCGGTATTGTTAACGGTCGCATTGATATTGTTATGGAAGTGTAATTGTTACAGACTTGCGTAATTTCAGCTCAAGACAATATCGATACAAACATGTGTAGTCTAGCTCAAAGTATAACTACGTATTTTATAAAAATTAAAAAACTAAAAGTAGAAAAATTTAAAATTATTATTAAAATTAAATTTTGTTTTAAAAATTCATTTTTAAAGCGTAGTCTCATTGGTTCAGGAGCAAAGCGTCTGTCTAGTAAAAAGAAGGTCACTGGTTCAATTTCAGTATGAGGCAATTCCTTTTTACTCTTTTTTAAAAAAAGTTTATTAAGGTCGTATTTTACACACAATCAGAAAATCAATAACTTTAATTTCATCTATAATTTTACAAAACAATATTAAAAACGTATTTTTAGTCACAAAACACTATATTTTATAAAATTCACTGTCAGCAATACCAAAGACATCAGTTTCGTAAAATGACTGGAACTAAAAAGTTTAAAAAGTTTACACAATATGTTGCACTAAACGTTTCTTAATGCAGTGCTCGCTTCGTTAATTATAAAGGACAAACCAGGACAGACAGTCCGGAAACTTTGAAAGTAAACAAAAATAACAAACCAAAAACTTCAAAGGCAAAGGCAAGGCAAGGCAAGGCAAGGCAAGGCAAGGCAAGGCAAGGCAAGGCAAGGCAAGGCAAGGCAAGGCAAGGCAAGGCAAGGCAAGGCAAGGCAAGGCAAGGCAAGGCAAGGCAAGGCAAGGCAAGGCAAGGCAAGGCAAGGCAAGGCAAGGCAAAGGCAAAGGCAGAGCAAAGGCAGGGGAAAGACAGGGCAAAGGCAGAACAAAGGCAAGGCAAAGGCAAAATCAGGACAAGTCAAGACAGTAAGGACAATTTTACACACAATAAAGTAATCTGTAAAACAGAACCGTTTACAGTCATCGCCAAAGTTTGTAATTTGAAAGTCTTCCATTTTTTTCAAGTGTGACAAATTTTGTCATTCAATACTAGACGGTAAATTTAATAACAAATATTTTCATACAATACCTATGTTATAGACAGTATATTCAAAACTAATCTCAAACACAGTATTTCTCAATAGAATGTGTGTTAAAACAAGGGGAATTCTAAAAAGATTAGCGGCCAAATTAGATTCGTCAACAGGAATTCGGCCGTAAATAAAATCTCAAATGTTTTAGAGATAAAGAATTAATTTATATTAATATATAATTAATAATCAT